ATAAGAAAGAGCTTACTTTCTATGTTAGATCGTTTATCTATATTAGGAAGAGGATGGGTCTTATTGCTCGGCCCTTAAGGTACTCCACTCGTTACCTCCATTGTGATAGTTATCTTTTTATTGTGACTCTTTGCCTTCCTTCCGAAAGGTACTTCTGCCCTCCCGAAAGGTACTTCTGCCCTCCCGAAAGGTACTTCTGCCCTCCCGAAAGGTACTTCTGCCCTCCCGAAAGGTACTTATGCCCTCCCGAAAGGTACTTCTGCCCTCCCGAAAGGTACTTCTGCCCTCCCGAAAGGTACTTCTGCCCTCCCGAAAGGTACTTCTGCCCTCCCGAAAGGTACTTATGCCCTCCCGAAAGGTACTTAGGCCCTCCTGAAAGGTACTTATGCCCTCCCGAAAGGTACTTGTGCCCTCCCGAAAGGTACTTCTGCCCTCCCGAAAGGTACTTCTGCCCTCCCGAAAGGTACTTATGCCCTCCCGAAAGGTACTTATGCCCTCCTGAAAGGTACTTCTGCCCTCCCGAAAGGTACTTAGGCCCTCCTGAAAGGTACTTCTGCCCTCCCGAAAGGTACTTCTGCCCTCCCGAAAGGTACTTAGGCCCTCCTGAAAGGTACTTATGCCCTCCCGAAAGGTACTTCTGCCCTCCCGAAAGGTACTTCTGCCCTCCCGAAAGGTACTTATGCCCTCCCGAAAGGTACTTATGCCCTCCCGAAAGGTACTTCTGCCCTCCCGAAAGGTACTTCTGCCCTCCCGAAAGGTACTTCTGCCCTCCCGAAAGGTACTTAGGCCCTCCTGAAAGGTACTTAGGCCCTCCCGAAAGGTACTTCTGCCCTCCCGAAAGGTACTTCTGCCCTCCCGAAAGGTACTTAGGCCCTCCCGAAAGGTACTTATGCCCTCCCGAAAGGTACTTCTGCCCTCCCGAAAGGTACTTCTGCCCTCCCGAAAGGTACTTCTGCCCTCCCGAAAGGTACTTAGGCCCTCCTGAAAGGTACTTATGCCCTCCTGAAAGGTACTTCTTCCCTCCCGAAAGGTACTTCTGCGCCCACTTCAGTTATTTTCTCGATACTCCAGCCTATTTTCCGAATTTGCATATGAGTCGCTTGTGAGGAACAGTGTCAGAAGCTTTCGGGCAATCCAGGACAAACGCAGTCCTGCAGAAAAGGCAGAAAATTTTAGTCAAGCAAGATGTTCATTTGCTGAATCCATGTTGATTCTTGGAAACAAAATTGATATATTCTAAATGATCGACAAGTCTTAATCAGTCGATGAGTCACAATAACGTGGCTGAAGTATGTTGACCAGACCACACACTAGAAATTGAAGGGACGACGACGTTTCGGTCCGTCCTGGACCATTCTCAAGTCGATTGTGTGACTTGATTGTGTCTCACACAATCGACTTGAGAATGGTCCAGGACGGACCGAAACGTCGTCGTCCCTTCAATTTCTAGTGTGTGGTCTGGTCAACAAGTCTTAATCAGTCTTTCTAATATCCTACAGGCAATACTTGTTAGATATACTGGTCTGTAATCCACTGTGGACTTGTTTATAATAGTGAACGTCTCTAAGTATTCGTTTGTCACAGTAAAAAGTCTTTTTTTTTTCCCAGGAGGATCAGCAGTTGTGGTGACTTCAAGGTCACGTGCTCGCTGTTTCCCGCCAACATTTCCTTTTTGGCGGGGACTAAAGGGGATGAGGCGAGCAACTATACTCCCTGTTGCATCATCACAATAGTTAGTGTAAACAATGTACTCGCTGTTTCATAGATGTAATAGTCAGGCGAGAGACTGTACATACCAGCACTAGACCATCACCGTTAACACCACCATCGTTCCTACCACTATCAACACCACCACCATCGTTCCTACCACTATCAACACCACCACCATCGTTCCTACCACTATCAACACCACCACCATCGTTCCTACCACTATCAACACCACCACCATCGTTCCTACCACTATCAACACCACCACCATCGTTCCTACCACTATCAACACCACCACCATCGTTCCTACCACTATCAACACCACCACCATCGTTCCTACCACTATCAACACCACCACCATCGTTCCTACCACTATCAACACCACCACCATCGTTCCTACCACTATCAACACCACCACCATCGTTCCTACCACTATCAACACCACCACCATCGTTCCTACCACTATCAACACCACCACCATCGTTCCTACCACTATCAACACCACCACCATCGTTCCTACCACTATCAACACCACCACCATCGTTCCTACCACTATCAACACCACCACCATCGTTCCTACCACTATCAACACCACCACCATCGTTCCTACCACTATCAACACCACCACCATCGTTCCTACCACTATCAACACCACCACCATCGTCCCTACCACTATCAACACCACCACCATCGTCCCTACCACTATCAACACCACTACCATCGTCCCTACCACTATCAACATCACCACCGTCCCTACCACTATCAACACTACCACCATCGTTATTACTGGCACCATCATCAGCAACACCGGCACTACCACCATCGTCACCACCACCACCACCACCATCACTACCAGTTGCAAATCGTATGATCACTGCCTAAAGCATTCCATTTGTCACGTACTCTTGACGCTAAAAAAATCTTTCTAGTATCTTTATGGCTCATTTGGGCCCCTCAGTTTCCACCTGTGTCCCCTAGTGCGTGTGCGCCCTTTGTGTTAAAGAATCTGTCTTTATCTACCCCATCAATTCCTTTGAGAATCTTGTATGTGGTGATCATGTCCCCCCAACTCTTCTGTCTTCTAGCGACGTGAGGTTTAAGATAGCGTAGGTAAGGTCTAGCGAGGTCTCTCCTCGTAGCTCATACCCCTCAGTTCGGGTACTAGTCTGGTGGCAAACCTTTGAACCTTTTCGAGTTTAGTCTATCAATACAGGAGTGCATGAATACAGGAATGTATCAATACAGAAGTGTATCAATACAGAAGTGTATCAATACAGAAGTGTATCAATACAGCCTGGCTACTTGGATTTGCAATGCGGAACCTTCAATGTAAGCGAGGATTCTCTCTCTCTTAACTCGACAAGCGACTCGTTTAACTGGAAATGGAAGCAAGCCGTCTTCTATTACCCGTTTAGCATAGTCTACAGGAGCAGGGAGGTGGCCTACAAGACCTGACCTCTGGGTCAACGTGAGAAATTAACACTCTGGGAGATAGGGAGATGAAACAGCATTAATGTTTTTGGTAATACAATTCAGTGGTTGATGTGGACTCCTCTGAACTGGAAGTTGTGGTCTCTTGAGTGTCTGCAGTCTTACAAACAGAAAAATCACACCGTAGAGAGTTAATTTCTCAAGCTGACCCAGAGGTCAGGTCTTGTAGGTGTCCCCGTTCCTACTCATGCAGACTGTGCTAAGCAGATAATTGCAGAGGGCTCGCTTGTACTCCCCACTAAGCAAGCCGACTGTCTTTGTATGATGCAGATGTAGCCCTTTGTCTTACGGCTACGTCTCTTGCCCTTAGACTACTCTTATGGACAGAGCCTAGCTCCTGGATCCCAAATAAATAGGATAGCAGTTTCACATTCGAGTTGGACAGAGAACCCATCCTCACACTGAAGGTTTAGCATTTCATATTCATATAGTAAGGGGAGGGGCCATGAGTATTTAGACCCCCTATAACCAACAAACAACAGAGACACTGGCGAGTGATGTTTGTCAGGTGAGGTATTTCCCTTATCTCGATATCCTACGATTTGTGCAATCTCAGGTTGGAGATAATACCGCTATAGAGTATTGTAGTAGAAGATATCTCTTTTGACTGAAAGCCGCACTTTACTCTGGGATTCCTTGGACAGATGCGGTCACATATTGTCTTGAAGAAGCCATGCTCGACAGATCAGACAGTATACTAAACCTGCTCTGTGGTATACAAGGACGTATGATGTACTATGTTACTATAGCTCGTGTATAAGTGGAAATTAACACAAACTGTAGCAATAACGTACTAGGGGAAAAGGATGACAGCTGCAAATAATAAAAGGATAGCTTAGCCAACCACAGCCTGACTCTACACGGGGTTTGATAGAAGTTAATCGTAGAGAATTTACACCATTCTCTCTCTCTCTCTCTCTCTCTCTCTCTCTCTCTCTCTCTCTCTCTCTCTCTCTCTCTCTCTCTCTCTCTCTCTCTCTCTCTCTCTCTCTCTCACACACACACACACACACCCATCTTTATTCACCCCTTTTTTATCTATTTTCTACAGTCATCTCCCCATTCTCTTCTTTCCTCCCGTGTCTTTCTACCTTCATTGCCTTCCCCTTCTCCTGACTCCCTTTTCTTAGTCATTTTGGTTTATCCCCCTCTTTCTTTTCCCCGTCCTCTCTGTCTCCAACCCTCTTGATCTCACCTTTTCATCTCTTTTCCTCATTCCCTTTTCTTCTCATATAACCATCCCCCTTTTCCCCCCATTTCCGCCATTCCCTTTTCTTTCTTCTCTATTCACTCTTCCCCATTCCATTGCCTCGCCTCACAATTCGTTCGTCTTCTTCCCTCTTTCACACTCTTTCGTCTCACTCTCACCTCTCCTATTTCTTATCTTGTCCTCTTTCCTCTCCATCGTCTGCCTCCCCTCTCTCCACTCCATCGTCTGCCTCCCCTCTCTCCACTCCATCGTCTGCCTCCCCTCTCTCCACTCCATCGTCTGCCTCCCCTCTCTCCACTCCATCGTCTGCCTCCCCTCTCCTCTACCCTATACAGGTAGACAAATTAGAATGGATGGGCTTCTTGATCAAAATGGCGTCGGAGAAGTGGTCACAGTGAAGGGGAACCCCTGGGAAGTGGCTCTGGTCCCGGCCTTGTGATAACTGGTAGGCACCTCCGGCAATGGGATTTGAACAGGACTGAGAAAGATTCTAAGGGCATGGTTGCTGCTGGGCTTGAAGGGACCTCAGGTTCACGGGTTGTGAGTCCTTCTGTTAAAGACTTCAGAGGTTTGTGCTTCTGTTAAAAGAGTTTCAGAGGTTGTAGTTCTGCTGGAAGGGACCTCGTGCCTGAAGTTGGGGTTCTGCTGGAAGGGACCTCGTGCCTGAAGTTGGGGTTCTGCTGGAAGGGACCTCGTGCCTGAAGTTGGGGTTCTGCTGGAAGGGATCTCTTGCCTGAAGTTGGGGTTCTGCTAGAAGGGACCTCGTGCCTGAAGTTGGGGTTCTGCTGGAAGGGATCTCTTGCCTGAAGTTGGGGTTCTGCTGGAAAGGATCTCTTGCCTGAAGTTGGGGTTCTGCTGGAAGGGACCTCGTGCCTGAAGTTGGGGTTCTGATAGAAGGGACCTCGTGCCTGAAGTTGGGGTTCTGCTGGAAGGGACCTCGTGCCTGAAGTTGGGGTTCTGCTAGAAGGGACCTCGTGCCTGAAGTTGGGGTTCTGCTAGAAGGGACCTCGTGCCTGAAGTTGGAGTTCTGCTAGAAGGGACCTCGTGCCTGAAGTTGGGGTTCTGCTGGAAGGGACCTCGTGCCTGAAGTTGGGGTTCTGCTAGAAGGGACCTCGTGCCTGAAGTTGGAGTTCTGCTAGAAGGGACCTCGTGCCTGAAGTTGGGGTTCTGCTGGAAGGGACCTCGTGCCTGAAGTTGGGGTTCTGCTGGAAGGGACCTGAGGTGTTGGGTTGCAGTGTTCTTAGAGAGGACCTCATGTTCTTGGGATGTGGCTCAGCCGGGGCGCACCAGGGATTCTGGGGTTGTAGTTATGGTGGAGGGAACCCCAGATCACTTAGTTTTGGTTGTTCTTGGGGGAACAACTCTAATTTTCCCCGAAGAAATTTGGGGGATTCTGTTTATCTGAATTTTACTTACACACACACACACACACACACACACACACACACACACACACACACACACACACACACACACACACACACACATACACACTACGGGGCCTCGTAGCCTGGTGGATAGCGCGCAGGACTCGTAATTCTGTGGCGCGGGTTCGATTCCCGCACGAGGCAGAAACAAATGGGCAAAGTTTCTTTCACCCTAAGTGCCCCTGTTACCTAGCAGTAAATAGGTACCTGGGAGTTAGTCGGCTGTCACGGGCTGCTTCCTGGTGTGTGTGTGTGTGTGTGTGTGTGTGTGGTGTGGGGAAAAAAAAAGTAGTTAGTAAACAGTTGATTGACAGTTGAGAGGCGGGCCGAAAGAGCAAAGCTCAACCCCCGCAAAAACACAACTAGTAAACACACACACACACACACACACATATATATATATATATATGCGAACAAGCCTGAATGGTCCCCAGGACAATATGCAACTGAAAACTCAACTGTTTATATATATATATATATATATATATATATATATATATATATATATATATATATATATATATATATATATATATATATATATATATATATATATATATAATAAAAATGGAAATTTTCGTTTGTTCATAATCGCTAATTATCGAAAGTTCTTCACCGAGTGCTTTGAAATTTTCACACATCGTTCCTTTCGCATCCGAGCGGGTATTTAAATACAAACTATATAGATGTCATGTCTGACGGAAAAAAACATGAGTTTTTGAGAAACTGCGGTTTTCATGTGTTTTTCATGTGAGGGAAATCTTCGAAACCTTTTTACCGATTGCTTTGAAATATTGACACAACGTTGCATTCGAATAGGCGAGTGTTTTTATGTACCTACTATCTACATGCCTCACCTGTGACAGGAAAAAACATTTGTTTTTTTAAACAGCGCCATCTGTTGCGCGTAAGAGCAACACACGCTGTAATATCCGAAAGTTCTTCACCATTTGCTTTGAAATTTTGACACAACGTTCCATTCGAAGACGCGCATGTTTTTATATGCCTACTACATAGATGCCACACCTCGACACGTAAAAACATGCTTTTTTTTAAACAGCGGCATCTGTTGCACGTAATAGCAACACACACAAACACACACACTATACTAAATATGTTACGATTCCAATTTGAACTGAAACACTGAAACACGATTTCAGTGTTTCCGATTGCATTGATAAATTGAATTTTCGTAGATTTCTATTTTTCATTTTGATTTAATTATTTCGTGTGACATTGCGTTGGAATTGGTTGTGTTTACCGTAACGTTAATTTCAAGAGGATAGTTTATTTTTTTATTTTTTAAGTTTTTATTTCTGTTTTTAACTGTTTTTCGTATATTTCAGTGATGGGAATATCGGATCATTTGATGTTCCCAATTTTCTGATGGGAACATAAGATCATTTGGAAATGTATTGAACGAGGGAGTGGGGAATGGTGGGGAGGACGAGGGGATGGGAGCCCGTAAGGAATATACAGATAGTTGTTATTTTAGATTCAGCAACTCCCAACATAGGGTTGCAAGTAGCACGGGCTAAGGTGAGCCCGTAGTGGACTTACCTGGCACTGGAGCGGGGCTGTAACTGTATATATATATACAGGGCACAATTTTGTCTTAAATACACATGTGAGAGAGGGGAAGTTGTGTAGGGGGGGGGGGTAAGGCGGAGTAGTCACACATTGGAAAACAAATATGAGAGTAATGGGAATGGAAGCCAATCAAACGATGGGTAAGGCGGGGGGGGGGGGGGGATCAGTAGGGGATGTCGTTATGCGGGGCTGTATGGTGAGGTCTAGGTCTGAGCGTAGGCAGGGTGCTGTATGGTGAGGTCTAGGTCTGAGCGTAGGCAGGGTGCTGTATGGTGAGGTCTAGGTCTGAGCGTAGGCAGGGTGCTGTATGGTGAGGTCTAGGTCTGAGCGTAGGCAGGGTGCTGTCTGGTGAGGTCTAGGTCTGAGCATAGGCAGGGTGCTGTATGGTGAGGTCTAGGTCTGAGCGTAGGCAGGGTGCTGTATGGTGAGGTCTAGGTCTGAGCGTAGGCAGGGCGCTGTATGGTGAGGTCTAGGTCTGAGCGTAGGCAGGGTGCGGTATGGTGAGGTCTAGGTCTGAGCGTAGACAGGGTGCTGTATGGTGAGGTCTAGGTCTGAGCGTAGGCAGGGTGCTGTATGGTGAGGTTTAGGTCTGAGCGTAGACAGGATGCTGTATGGTGAGGTCTAGGTCTGAGCGTAGGCAGGGTGCTGTATGGTGAGGTCTAGGTCTGAGCGTAGGCAGGGTGCTGTATGGTGAGGTCTAGGTCTGAGCGTAGGCAGGGTGCTGTATGGTGAGGTCTAGGTCTGAGCGTAGGCAGGGTGCTGTATGGTGAGGTCTAGGTCTGAGCGTAGGCAGGGTGCTGTATGGTGAGGTCTAGGTCTGAGCGTAGACAGGGTGCTGTATGGTGAGGTCTAGGTCTGAGCGTAGGCAGGGTGCTGTATGGTGAGGTCTAGGTCTGAGCGTAGGCAGGGTGCTGTATGGTGAGGTCTAGGTCTGAGCGTGAACAAGGTGTCGAAATCGTTACTCTTAAGTCTTTTTTTTTTACAGATATACCTTCCAGTAATTGCAATCTTCTCTGATCAGTGGTGGATGCCAGGATTGTTGTATTTTCTGCTAGCATGTTCCTAGTGAGTATTGTGTTATGTGCACTGTGCTTATAGTACAAAGTCTCCGTTTGTACATAGTACAAAGCAGTCTTCGTGGTGTAGTGGTAAGACACTCGCCTGGCGTTCCGCGAGCGCTATGTCATGGGTTCGTATCCTGGCCGGGGAGGATTTACTGGGCGCAATTCCTGAACTGTAACTCCTTAACTCTGCTTAACGCAACAGTAAAATGTGTACTTGGATGAAAAAACGATTCTTCGTGGCAGGGGATCGTATTCCAGGGACCATAGGATTAAGGACTTGCCCGAAACGCTACGCGTACTAGTGGCTGTACAAGAATGTAACAACTCTTGTATATATCTCAAAAAAAAAAAAAAAAGTGGATCATATGCAAAGTGCATATGGTCCACTTTGGTACCAGGTATTGTTGTACTAGGCATATGGTACCAGAATTGTTGTAGAGAGTACAACATTCCTGGCATCCAACCACTGGATGAGTGAAAGAGAGATAGATATACAAAAATCGATGTTTCAGATACACCACATACAACCCTCTTCTTTGGCGTGTGATACAGCATCAGGGAAAATATATGGAGATTCTTCTCTCTCTCTCTCTCTCTCTCTCTCTCTCTCTCTCTCTCTCTCTCTCTCTCTCTCTCTCTCTCTCTCTCTCTCTCTCTCTCTCTCTCTCTCTCTCTCTCTCTCACGTCAACTGAAGGAGGTGGTATTCTGGTGAGGGCGAGAAGTCTCGCGCCCTACTCCACAGCTTAAGGGATTTCCTGCTGGGAGAAGAAAGTGGGAAGAGGAGGAGCGGGAGTGGGGAGAGGAAATATGAGGTGTGAGAGAGAGGGGGGCCGAAGGAAAGGTGGGTGGGGGGGAAAAAGATGATAAGCTCGGGAAGATATAAAGATAAGGAATGGGAGAGTTGGTGAGAAGAAAAGCTGAAGGATAAATAAAGATGTCAAGATATGAGAAGATCAGCTGGGAAAAAGAAAAGTGTGGGAGGCGGTAAAAAGTGAGGCTGCTGGAGAGGAAAAGATTGGGAGGATGCTGGAGCAGAGATGGGGAGGAGATGATGTGAGGGGAGAATGAAGATACCTGCTTGATGGGGTTCTGGGAGTTCATCTACTCCCCAAAGCCCGGCCCGAGGCCAGGCTTGACTTGTGAGAGTTTGGTCCACCAGGCTGTTGCTTGGAGCGGCCCGCAGGCCCACATACCCACCACAGCCCAGTTGGTCCGGTACTTCTTGAAGAAAACTATCTAGTTTTCTCTTGAAGATGTCTTCGGTTGTTCCGGCAATATTTCTTATAGTCGCTGGGAGGGTGTTGAACAACCACGGACCTCTGATGTTTATACAGTATTCTCTGATTGTGCCTATGGCACCCCTGCTCTTCAATGGTTCTATTCTGAATTTTCTTCCATATCGTTCACTCCAGTACGTTGTTATTTTACTGTGTAGATTGGGTACCTGGCCCCTAGTGTTTTCCACTTGTATATTATTTGATCTCTCTCTTTTCTCCTTTCTAGCGAGTACATTTGGAGAGCTTTGAGACGATCCCAATAATTTAGGCGCTTTATCGAGTCTTTGTATGCCGTATATGTTCTCTGAACATATACGGCAGGCTGTTAGGCTGTTCAGGCTGTTCTCTGAACATATACGGCAGGCTGTTAGGCTGTTCAGGCTGTTCTCTGAACATATACGGCAGGCTGTTAGGCTGTTCAGGCTGTTCTCTGAACATATACGGCAGGCTGTTAGGCTGTTCAGGCTGTTCTCTGAACATATAGGGAGAAAGAAATTCTCTCTTATATGTTCTCTGAACATATAGGAAGATGAGGAAGTGAAATGATTAGACGAAAGAGACGGAACAATAATTCGTTGTAAAAACGGTAGAGTATAGAAGGAAGAGGGTGATTTGAAGGAAGGAGAAGGTAGTTGAGAAGGAGAGAGAGGGAAGAAAGATAAGGGGTAATATAAAAACGAAATTAATACAGAGGAGAGAAACTGGTGGGGTGTTGAGAGGGAATGCGGTTATAGTAGAGGGAATTGGAAGGGGAAAGTTGCTGCTGTAGGTGGGAGAGGGGACGAGGGAGAGGGGAAGAAAAGGGAGAGCAAGGATTTTGTGCGAGCGGGATTGCGGCAGGATTGCAGCTATCATGCTGCACACGGGAGATCTGAGGATTTACAAGAGAATTTGTGGCTGACTTGCTAGGCGATGTGGGCTGAGAGGAAAGGGGGGGGGAGAAAGAGAGAGATAGACAGACAGACAAAGAGGAAAGAGGAAGAGGGAGGGACTGAGTAAGAAGAAAGAGGAGGAGGAGGAGTTGGGGTTTGGGAACGTGACGAATGATTGGACTTAAGACATTAATACGAATGAAAATTAATATCTACCCAGAGTCAATTACGAAATAAATAGTTGAGAGAATGTCCACTGGGGCCTGAGAAGGCCTGGTCGAGGACTGGGCCGCGGGGACGCTAAGCCCCGAAACCATCTCAAAGTAAACTCAAGGTAATTCCCCCTCCCCCAACCTCATCAAACAACACAGGGGGGTCAAGGGTCAACTACCCCCCAGTGGACTCACCAGTTAGTGCTGGAAGCGAAGGTACCTGGTTACCTGGTTGATACCTGGTTGGTGGGGTTCTGGGAGTTCTTCTACTACTGACTTGTGAGAGTTTGGTCCACCAGGCTGTTGCTTGGAGCGGCTCGCAGGCCCACATACCCACCACAGCCCGGTTGGTCCACCAGGCTGTTGCTTGGAGCGGCCCGCAGGCCCACATACCCACCACAGCCCGGTTGGTCCGGCACTAAGGTGTGGAGAGAAATACTGAAACTTGTGGACCAAATATTTCTGGAAGGTAAACTGGCTGGAGGAAGAAGTTGTGCTGCCTTTTAGCACCATATTGGTGTTTGGTTAGGCCGTGTTCGTGTTTGGTTAGGTCGTGTCCGTGTTTGGTTAGGTCGTGTCCGTGTTTGGTTAGGTCGTGTCCGTGTTTGGTTAGGTCGTGTCCGTGTTTGGTTAGGTCGTGTCCGTGTTTGGTTAGGTCGTGTCCGTGTTTGGTTAGGTCGTGTCCGTGTTTGGTTAGGTCGTGTCCGTGTTTGGTTAGGTCATGTTGGCCTTGCGTTGTGATTAAGACCGCCTTTTAGTTTTGTTAAGTTGTGATGTTAATTTAGTGTTATAGACTATAACACTACGGCTTCAGAATGTATACTTAACTTGGCCGAAGATAAAAAGGAAAGTGGGGACACCACACGCCTAGTTCTCCATAGTCTATTGCTGACAGTGGGAGACGACTCGTATCAAACTTGTCACTAGTGATCTTCGCTCCATAAACTCCTAAACAGTCTCTCTTGTGGTCCTGGTGGCCACACCACCTGGCAACAGCTGGTGGTGGTGCTCTTGGTGGTGGTGCTCTTGGTGGTGGTGCTCTTGGTGGTGGTGCCTGGCAACAGCTGGTGGTGGTGCTCTTGGTGGTTGTGCCTGGCAACAGCTGGTGGTGGTGCTCTTGGTGGTGATGCCTGGCAACAGCTGGTGGTGGTGCTCTTGGTGGTGGTGCCTGGCAACAGCTGGTGGTGGTGCTCTTGGTGGTTGTGCCTGGCAACAGCTGGTGGTGGTGCTCTTGGTGGTGATGCCTGGCAACAGCTGGTGGTGGTGCTCTTGGTGGTGGTGCCTGGCAACAGCTGGTGGTGGTGCTCTTGGTGGTGGTGCCTGGCAACAGCTGGTGCGAATTTGGTATTTGTGTCTGATTCTGGGACTTATAAAAGCTGAAAATCAACACACAACTTCGTTAATTGTATTTATTTCATTTGTTATCGGACTTTTATTGCGGTTTTTGGCCGCGAAGAAGAAAGATACAGAGTGAGAGTAAAGGGGAGAGGAAAACAGAACCAGAGGAGTTGCCACACCAACACGACCTGTCATGTAAGCATGCTACGTGAGCGTCTTAAGAATTGCAACAGCAGTCAGCCAGTCGTCTCAGGAACCCGCCAGCGTAACACTGCTCCTCCCTAGGCATGACCCGCCCCGAAGACCCTGCCGACGAGGAACTCCTTGTCGGGGTCGTTTTCTCTTTCCTGTTCTTCCAGGAAGCGTTGACAATTCTTAGTCGGCGTTAGGAGGCTTTGACAGTTCTTAGTCGGCGTTGTAATTTCTTTCCAGTTCGTCCAGGAAGGCCTCCTCCAGGAGGACTTGTGAGTTCGTCGTCGTCGTCTTCTTTTTCCCGTTCTTCCAGGAGGCTCGCCAATTCCAAGTCGGCGTCGTCACCTCCTTCCCGTTGCTCCAGGAGGTTTAACGGGTCCTTCAGGTTTCCAGCCCGTCGAGCCGAGGAAGTTGTGGTTTTTAAACTTTAACCGCGTTTAGGCATCTCCTTGCTGGATTCCTGGAAAAAAGTCTTAGAATGTAGAAGCCTGCGGTGGTGTGGGAGGCTTGACTCTGGTCGATATTCAATATTCCAGGCACGGTCCTTCCAAGGTTCCAGCGCGCGGTCTCCCCTATTCTTGTTCCAGCGACAATTTTACATATGAGGCGCACACGTAGGGAGGGGTTGGGGCAGGGGAGTGGGAAGGGAGAAGCTATTGGCTGCTTCAAAGACCCTGACAGAGGAGGTGTTCGCCTTTGATCTTATTTAAATGCATCACTCAGCCTGGATAAAATGGCCGAGATCTGAACTATAATGGCACAAAGAAGAGGGAACGCCGTCGCCTGCTGTAGAGGGTTCTCACTTTCCCCTCTCCCTTCCTACCCTCTCCCTTCCTCTCCTCCTCCCTCTCCCTGGCCCCAAGATTGCCTTTTGGGGGTTCACCAGTTGGATAAAATGGCCCGCGTGAAGGGACCTGAGCTGGGCGTGTGACCCCCTTGCATAAATGAGGACGTGAGTCTGGGGGGTAGGGAAGGGGAAATGGGTAAGGGGAGGAGATAGCCAAGGGATTGTAGGGGTGTAAAAGAGAGAATGAAAGGGGTGGAGAATGACAAGGGAGTGTGAATGCGGCTGGAAGGAGGTGCACAAGGCCTGAAATAAAGGAAGATGATGTCTTTAAGAGAAGGTGAATGACCGGGCTAGATCATGGGGGAGGTAAGTCAAATACCGACTTGATAAAAAGTTATCTTAGTCGGTATTTGACTTATAGTCCACGTGACCATGTTGGAAACAATGACTCGAAAAGTGCCTTGTTCCCTTTCAGCTTGTATGGCAACCAGTCTTCAACCCGTCCAAATTCCCTTAATATTGCCACCACATCAACAATTTATGAATGAAAAACACTATACACACAACTCATAACATATTTGTCAACCTGTCCTCAGGCGAGGCTCGTTAAAGCGGCGGCTTCCCCAAGACGCATTTATTAATTTTAATGTACCGTGTGTTAAAAGTAGGTTGGTTTTCATATATAAATTAATAATTTCATAAATTAAAGTTCAATGTATAGTTAAACGAAGGTTAGCTCAGGTTAGGTGTTAGGTTCTATTGGTGATTATTTATATTTGCAGAGCTTGGATGAAGCATTTGCAGAGTTGCGATTCGAACAGAGGTCATCAGCAAAGTACTGTTCGAGAAATGTTCGAACATCAGTTGTGAGTCTAGTGTGTGAACCGTTTTTCATTCATAAACCGGGGATTTGGCCATCCCGTCCTCGACTCAAGTCCATTCCATCCAGCGGTCGACCCACAGACGCATTCATCAATTTTAACATGCTGTTCATTCAAAACGCGAATTTTCTCAAGTATAAATTAATATTATAAGATATTAGCATATTGTTCATATATAGGCATAGGTTAGGTTAGGTGTTTAGGTTCTGTTGGCGATTATTTGTATTTGTAGTACGTGGGTGAAGCATTTACAGCGTTGTGGTTCGAACAAAAGTCGTCAGTGAATCACTTGTTCCGGAAGTGTTCGGACGTCATCAGTTGTGTGTCGTGTGCAAACCGTTTTTCATTCATAAACAGAGGGGTTGGCGGGTGCATGGAATGGACTTTGGCCTTTTGAGGACGGGCAGCAGCATTTGCAGCATGACGGGCTTCACTCATTCTGCGCCAATGGTCTGGTTTTGGGACGGCCCGGCAGTCGGCTTTTATTATGATCATATATATTTGTGTCATACCTACAAATAATTGTATATGGCGACGTCCAGAAGTTGGTGTTATATAACACGTACATAGGCTGACGATATTTAGCAGGCAGTAGTCTCTCTCTCTCTCTCTCTCTCTCTCTCTCTCTCTCTCTCTCTCTCTCTCTCTCTCTCTCTCTCTCTCTCTCTCTCTCTCTCTCTCTCTCTCTCTCTTTCTTCCCCTAACTAGCTTTCTCCTCTCCTCCCCCTCTCTCCGAATCTTTCCTCTCGCTCCTACCCCTCCTCTCCTCTTCTCTACCCCTCCTCCCCTACTTTTCTCCCCCTCTTCTCTACTTCTCCTCCCCCTCCCCCTCTTCTCTATCCCTCCTCCACCTCTTCTCTACCCCTCCTCCACCTTTCCCGCTCTCCACATTTCGCCCCCTGTACCACAAACGTTAGATCAATTCTGGAATATGCATCGCCAACATAGCACAAGCTAAAGTTGAAGAACGTTCCAATGCCTAGCATCAGACTACTTCCAAAGGCCAAAGTTTCATGAATTCGCTAAGAGAATTGAACCTCATACAAATTAAGTAGAACGGGAATAAAGTGTTCACATGACCACGACGTGGAAGATACTCGGGGGACTCGACAAGGTTAGGCCTTTTTCCAATTTCAGTGCGCGAACGTGGTACAGGATTGTAAACTAAGTTCATAGACAAATCTGAGGAATATTAGAA